TCTCTGGAGAGACCTGAAAATAACTGTGCAGCGATGCTCCCGATCCAACCTGACAGAGCTTGAGAGGATCTGCAGAGAAGAATGGGAGAAACTCCCCAATTACAGGTGTGCCAAGCTTGTAGTGTGAGGGGGAAAAAAGTATTTGATCCCCTGCTGATTTGTACGTTTGCCCACTGACAAAGAAATGATCAGTCTATAATTTTAATGGTAGGTTTATTTGAACAGTGAGAGACAGAATAACAACCAAAAAATCCAGAAAAACGCATGTAAAAAATGTTATATTGATTTGCATTTTAATGAGGGAAATAAGTATTTGACCCCTCTGCAAAACATGACTTAGTACTTGGTGGCAAAACCCTTGTTGGCAATCACAGAGGTCAGACATTTCTTGTAGTTGGCCACCAGGTTTGCACACATCTCAGGAGGGATTTTGTCCCACTCTTCTTTGCAGATCTTCTCCAAGTCATTAAGGTTTCGAGGCTGACGTTTGGCAACTCGAACCTTCAGCTCCCTCCACAGATTTTCTATGGGATTAAGGTCTGGAGACTGGCTAGGCCACTCCAGGACCTTAATGTGCTTCTTCTTGAGCCACTCCTTTGTTGCCTTGGCCGTGTGTTTTGGGTCATTTTCATGCTGGAATACCCATCCACAACCTATTTTCAATGCCCTGGCTGAGGGAAGGAGGTTCTCACCCAAGATCGGCACTTTGATGCGGTGAAGTTGTCCTGTCCCCTTAGCAGAAAAACACCCCCAAAGCATAATGTTTCCACCTCCATGTTTGACGGTGGGGATGGTGTTCTTAGGGTCATAGGCAGCATTCCTCCTCCTTCAAACACGGCGAGTTGAGTTGATGCCAAAGAGCTCGATTTTGGTCTCATCTGACCACAACACTTTCACCAAGTTCTCCTCTGAATCATTCAGATGTTCACTGGCAAACTTCAGACGGGCCTGTATATGTGCTTTCTTGAGCAGGGGGACCTTGCGGGCGCTGCAGGATTTCAGTACCTTCACGGCATAGTGTGTTACCAATTGTTTTCTTGGTGACTAAGGTCCCAGCTGCCTTGAGATCATTGACAAAATCCTCCCGTGTAGTTCTGGGATGATTCCTCACCGTTCTCATGATCATTGCAACTCCACGAGGTGAGATCTTGCATGGAGCCGCAGGCCGAGGGAGATTGACAGTTATTTTGTGTTTCTTCCATTTGCGAATAATCGCACCAACTGTTGTCACCTTCTCACCAAGCTGCTTGGCGACGGTCTTGTAGCCCATTCCAGCCTTGTGTAGGTCTACAATCTTGTCCCTGACATCCTTGGAGAGCTCTTTGGTCTTGGCCATGGTGGAGAGTTTGGAATCTGATTGATTGCTTCTGTGGACAGGTGTCTTTTATACAGGTAACGAGCTGAGATTAGGAGCACACTCTTAAAGGGAGTGCTCCAAATCTCAGCTTGTTACATGTATAAAAGACACCTGGGAGCCAGAAATCTTTCTGATTGAGAGGGGTTCAAATACTTATTTCCCTCATTAAAATGTAAATCAATTTATAACATTTTTGACATGCGTTTTTCTCTGGATTTTTTTGTTGTTATTCTGTCTCTCACTGTTCAAATAAACCTACCATTAAAATTATAGACTGATCATTTCTTTGTCAGTGGGCAAATGTACAAAATCAGCAGGGGATCAAATACTTTTTTCCCTCACTGTATGTATGTATGTATGTGTATATATACAGTGGGGAGAACAAGTATTTGATACACTGCCGATTTTGCAGGTTTTCCTACTTACAAAGCATGTAGAGGTCTGTCATTTTTATCTTAGGTACACTTCAACTGTGAGAGATGAAATCTAAAACAAAAATCCAGAAAATCACATTGTATAATTTTTAAATAATTAATTTGCATTTTATTGCATGACATAAGTATTTGATCACCTACCAACCAGTAAGAATTCCGGCTCTCACAGACCTGTTAGTTTTTCTTTAAGAAGCCCTCCTGTTCTCCACTCATTACCTATATTAACTGCACCTGTTTGAACTCGTTACCTGTATAAAATAAAAGACACCTGTCCACACACTCAATCAAACAGACTCCAACCTCTCCACAATGGCCAAGACCAGAGAGCTGTGTAAGGACATCAGGGACAAAATTGTAGACCTGCACAAGGCTGGGACGGGCTACAGGACAATAGGCAAGCAGCTTGGTGAGGAGGCAACAACTGTTGGCGCAATTATCAGAAAATGGAAGAAGTTCAAGATGACGGTCAATCACACTCAGTCTGGGGCACCACGCAAGATCTCACCTTGTGGGGCATCAATGATCATGAGGAAGGTGAGGGATCAGCCCAGAACTACACGGCAGGACCTGGTCAATGACCTGAAGAGAGCTGGGACCACAGTCTCAAAGAAAACCATTAGTAACACACTACGCCGTCATGGATTAAAATCCTGCAGCGCACGCAATGTCCCCCTGCTCAAGCCAGCGCATGTCCAGGCTCGTCTGAAGTTTGCCAATGACCATTTGAATGATCTAGAGGAGGAATGGGAGAAGGTCATGTGGTCTGATGAGACAAAAATAGAGCTTTTTGGTCTAAACTACACTCGCCGTGTTTGGAGGAAGAAGAAGGATGAGTACAACCCCAAGAACACCATCCCAACCGTGAAGCATGGAGGTGGAAACATCATTCTTTGGGGATGGTTTTCTGCAAAGGGGACAGGACGACTGCACCGTATTGAGGGGAGGATGGATGGAGCCATGTATCGCGAGATCTTGGCCAACAACCTCCTTCCCACAGTAAGAGCATTGAAGATGGGTCATGGCTGGGTCTTCCAGCATGACAACGACCTGAAAAACACAGCCAGGGCAACTAAGGAGTGGCTCCGTAAGAAGCATCTCAAGGTCCTGGAGTGGCCTAGCCAGTCTCCAGACCTGAACCCAAAAGAAAATCTTTGGAGGGAGCTGAAAGTCCGTATTGCCCAGTGACAGCCCCGAAACCTGAAGGATCTGGAGAAGGTCTGTATGGAGGAGTGGGCCAAAATCCTTGCTGCAGTGTGTGCAAACCTGGTCAAGACCTACAGGAAACGTATGATCTCTGTAATTGCAAACAAAGGTTTCTGTACCAAATATTAAGTTCTGCTTTTATGATGTATCAAATACTTATGTCATGCAATAAAATGCAAATTACTTACTTAAAAATCACACAATGTGATTTTCTGGATTTTTGTTTTTAGATTCCATCTCACACAGTTGAAGTATACCTATGATAAGAATTACAGACCTCTACATGCTTTGTAAGTAGGAAAACCTGCAAAATTGGCAGTGTATCAAATACTTGTTCTCCCCACTGTGTGTGTGTATATATATATATATATATTTTAATCCATTTTAGAATAAGGCTGTAACGTAACAAAATGTGGAAAAAGTAAAGGGGTCTGAATATTTTCCGAAAGCACTGTACATTGTGTAATTTACCTGATGGTCCCTAACTAGCCCCATAGGGATATCCAAAGTAAACCCAAATTGACCACAGTCATTACGATCGGGTCGCATGCAGTTGCACTCCGAATTGATGAATACTTGTGTGCTGCCAGCTGTCGACATGTGACCAGGATTGAAACAAATCCAACTTTAATTTACATTGTGATGCAGTCACGGCCACAAGTAAAAAAAAAAAAAAAACTATGTTTTGGTCGAGACTGACTATGACCAAAGTTATCCTATTTACACTTTGTAGTACATTTTGACGGTATAATAAATGTTTCTGACTCATTTCGATGCCACATTGAGTTGTTTTTTAGGGGCAGTTGCTCTTTAAGAACTCACCCAAATGTCTTTGTAGGCCTACTCTGTATGATTCACAAGCCACAATAAGGACAACAGCCAAATATGGCCCTGTTTTGCTGTTTCACCCTTGGGGTAGGACACCCTGTTTGCACTGTTCCAGACAAGCTATGCCTTATGTATTCTGTATGCAAGAGCTGTAAATATAGTTTGACAGTATCTGAGAAGATCTCAGCACCAATGTTACACGGCTGTTCATTCCAAGTGTTTGTAGAAGGACTATTATGTGTTTTTTCATTATTTTATGTTAAGAATGGAGCAAACATATTTTTCAAATCAAGTCTCTTCTCCAAAGGCAACTGTAAGTGTAGCAAGCAACCAAAAACTATTTGTGGTATTTTGTTTCATTGTGCCATAGCTGCTAATAATTTGAATGAATCTGCATCGATTTCAAAGCTTGGAAATGACTGAGGTCCATTTAAATCTGGAATGAAAGTGCATTATCTTATGCTTTGATTTCAGGTCAAACGACAAATGGACGCTGATTGCCCTAAACAAGTATTTTACTTATCAGATGTAATACTGTGTACTTTGGAAATGTTTCAATACATTTTCCCTCAAAGTAGTTTAAAAACGGAGGAATCAAGTTACTGTCTTTGAATTCCATTACTTATCATTGGTTCACAGTTGGTTGACATGGTTGGAATTGATATAATTTCCGTTCTTGTTATAAAATCTTGTATCTGTTTCAGTCTTGGCCAAGAAGTGGATTTTCTCTTGACATGCTAACTTAATGGCTTGGTGTTTTAGAGCTTATGTCTCATTGTTTCTCTCTCCCCATCACACACACACCCCTTCCCAACTCCCCTTTTCCTCTCTCTTTGTGTGTGTCTGTGTCTCTTTCTCTCTCTCCAGCAGGTCCTGGCACAGACAGATGCGTTGTCACGCGTAGGAGTCAAGAACCTTTCTCCAGCTTTTTTTAGCAGCCCCACTCCTCCCCCTCCCCTCACGCCTCCTCAGAGCATCTTTAATAAGACACATGCTCCTGGGCTCGGGCGCTCACTCACACCAAACGCTCCTTGGCGATCCCCCAACAGGCTGCCTGCTCCCCTGCTAGCCCCACCGAGTCTTCATGGGTTGAACCAACAGGAGTGCCACACTCTCCTCTCCTCCTTTTTTCCTCTTCTCTTCTCATATTCCAAGCATCGCTCCTCCACTACACCGTCAACCAACCCCCCCCCCCTACATCACCGTTATGGCTTGTGCCCCGCGCATGTTTGGATTTGCAGCCGCAGCAGCATAATCCTCCGCTGAAGGGAGTTGCGGACGCAGCAGCCCGGAGACAGTGAGAGACAGTGAGAGACAGTGAGAGACAGGGTGAGAGAGAGACCCAGCGGACAGCAGCAGCGGAGGGAGGGAAGCAGCAGGGAGGAGCAGCAACAGCAGCAGCGGCGGCAGAGTGATCCACCTGTCACAGAGTGAAAGGGGCCCCCCGCCTGATCCGTCTGCCTGCAGGGGGGACCCCGCGTGGCCGGGCAGCACCAGGGACTATGCAGCTGGGACTGGTGGCTCTGGTGATGGTCTTTCTTGGATCCATGGGTCACAGCGACAGCGGCCTCAAGCTCTCCAAGGGACGGAGGCAGAGACGGAGTGAGTTACCAAATCCCTTCCTCTCTTTCACTCTCTCTTTCTCTGGTTTCCATGCAGTACATTTCTTATAAACACAACGGCCGCAGTAAAGATGACATGTTGTTTATTTTTCTTCATCCTCATTATTTGGTTTGCCAAGATGGATTATGGTAGCTTCACAGTTTCCTTTGAATGACCCTCTTTTCTTCCTCTTTTTATGATTACGCCTCTCTGGGTTTATGTTGAGCTTTTATGGGTATTAAGAATGTTTATAGTCGGGTTTTAGGCGGATTCACCCTGGGTTTACGGCTAGAGCTTCATCACCACAGTTCTCTCCATGCTTGCCTCTGAGGTACTGAGTGGAACAACTCTCTGACACTTCAGCTCATGGTTGTTGTTGCATTGTTTGGTTTTCAAGCAGTTTTATAAACACTTTTCTGACCTCATGCACCCACAAAGACAGAGCTTACTCTCAGCCTCAGTGTCTGCCCTCAGAGCGGGGTGAATCTCAGGGCAAGGCGTTATCACTGGTTTTAATATAATGCCTTTTCCCTCAGAAGAGCTTTTAGAGGATACCAGCCTTTGCCCCCCTACACCCCCACCTCAGAAAACATCCAAGCAGTCAGGAGAGGTCAGAATTTTATTGAGCTTGGCTTTGGTAAATAGAGGTTGGCTTCGGCATGGCAATAGATGTCCAGAGGAAAGGCTACAGGCTTATCAGATGGGTCTTGTTTGAATTTTAGTATGTATTTTCATTACACAATAAATACATATTTCTGATGAGCAAAGTGTGTTTTACTATACCGTAAAAGACGAGTTGGCAATGACCTATGACTCGTGTCAATTATCATGTAATAGCTTTATCCCAGGTGAACAGTGTTCCCCCTGAATTTTGAAGCGATTTTTCAAGTTTCTTTTGTGGGTTATGTACAATATACTAGAGCGCCCTCAATAGAGACTGAGGCACAAAGTGAGATTTACATGGCATGGAACCTTCAGTTGGTTTAACCCACAGACTATGTTACCCACTGCTGTTGGCTGGCAGTGAGTGGGGGGTAGATAATCATGTTGTTGAAGTGTAGGATTTAGTGTAATTCATCTTGTAGGAGTTAGGCTCAGGGAAACAGGTGCTCAAACTTTGCCATGCGCAACAGCCTTTATATGTTAGGACCGAAGCTGTTTATAGACTAGAAATGATAAATTGTCATATCTGCATTGAATTTACAGAACATATTTTCATCACATCATCTCTGTATGTTTTGTGCCAGTCTTTCCTGGTTGACAACATCTCATCCAGAGGAGTAATATTGCCTCTCCCGCTCTACTACATTACCTCCATCAGCAGGGTCAAAAACTGTCCCAACATACATGGCATTCCATTCCCAGACAACACTGTCACAACCGAAAACACTTTACACCCCCTCAACTTTGGTTAGCTATTACATGGTGTGATTTACTTGTATCATTATTAAAGTGTTAAGAGTCTGGCTGTATAACAGCTACAGTGGCTTGCGAAAGTATTCACCCCTCTTAGTCCTATTTTGTTGCCGCACAACCTGGAATTAAAATGGATTTTTTGGGGGGTTTGTATCATTTAATTTACACAACATGCCTACCACTTTGAAGATGCACATTTTTTTATTGTGAAACAAACAAGAAATAAGACAAAAAAAACAGAACTTGAGCGTGCATAACTATTCACCCCCCCAATGTCAATACTTTATAGAGCCACCTTTTGCAGCAATTACAGCTGCAAGTCTCTTGGAGTATGTCTCTATAAGCTTGGCACATCTAGCCACTGGGATTTTTGCCCATTCTTCAAGGCAAAACTGCTCCAGCACCTTCAAGTTGGATGGGTTCCGCTGGTGTACAGCAATCTTTAAGTCATACCACAGATTCTCAATTGGATTGAGGTCTGGGCTTTGACTAGGTCATTCCAAGACATTTAAATGTTTCCCCTTAAACCACTCAAGTGTTGCTTTAGCAGTTTGCTTAGGGTCATTGTCCTGCTGGAAGGTGAACCTCCGTCCCAGTCTCAAATCTCTGGAAGACTGAAACAGGTTTCCCTCAAGAATTTCCCTGTATTTAGCGCCATCCATCATTCCTTCAATTCTAACCAGTTTCCCAGTCCCTGCCGAGGAAAAACATCCCCACAGCATGATGCTGCCACCACCATGCTTCACTGTGGGGATGGTGTTCTCGGGGTGATGAGAGGTGTTTGGTTTGCGCCAGACATAGCGTTTTCCTTGATGGCCAAAAAACTCAATTTTAGTCTCATCTGACCAGAGTACCTTCTTCCATATGTTTGGGGAGTCTCCCACATGCCTTTTGGCGAACACCAAACATGTTTGCTTATTTTTTTCTTTAAGCAATGGCTTTTTTCTGGCCACTCTTCCGTAAAGCCCAGCTCTGTGGAGTGTACGACTTAAAGTGGTTGCACCAGATCTTATTTAGGGGCTTCATAGCAAAGGGGGTGAATACACATGCACGCACCACTTTTCCGTTATTTTTGTTAAGATTTTTTAAAAACAAGTTATTTTTTTCATTTCACTTCACCAATTTGGACTATATTGTGTATGTTCCTTACATGAAATCCAAATAAAATCAATTTAAATTACAGGTTGTAATGCAACAAAATAGGAAAAACGTCAAGGGGGATGAATACTTTTGCAAGGCACTGTACTTTGGCTGCATCCCCATGCGAGGTTACCATGACTCAGGCATGGCGTAATCGATTTGTGGGTGAAATTTTTTAAAGCTTTTACCATCCCAACTTATCTCTGGGAGACAGGGTTGGCAGATTGATTACAGTGTGAGTGTGTATATATTTAGATGCTGATACCTCATAGGCCTGTAAATCAACCGTGATGACCGCCATTTTGGCACCAAATGGCCCCTAGAAACAGGATGTGCATATTGACACGCTTTCCAAGCAATCATTTAAATTACTGGCTGCAGTAGAGCAGAGTCTCCGAGTTCTAGCCTTTTTGGAAGATGAGGGAATAGGGATATCAAGTATGATCATGGGCTTATATGTGGATGAGACCCAAATGCAGATGGGGTGCTTTGAGACAGTTTTGTGGCTTAGTTAGATTCTTAGATTGTTATATTCAGTTTCGTGGGCGGATGGTTAAAACACCAAAAGACATTCGGCTCTGTATAGAAGTGTTGGGAAGAGACAACGCATTTGTGCACATTTCCCTTTTTGGCCGGCATGCTTGTGTAATTGGCGAAATCCCGATGGCTGAGTCGCTCTTCGTTGACCCCAGGGGGGCCCCTGCTGTGTGATGTCATGGCATGATGTGGAATCGATCATCGCAGGATGTCAGTCCCAAACACCCGGGCTTCTCCAACTAAAATCTGTTTAGGATCTCCGGCGAGCAGTTTCAAGTAAACAGTGAGAAAACTGTTCAAACAAAGATGTTTGGCATGGCCCCTGGTTTGATTAGCTGCAACATGAACTACTGCCAGGATTATGGCTATGTGGTGCAAAAATAGACAAGGGCCATGTCCTCACTGATACTGCCAGTGTTGAATCTAGTGTTTGTATCCAACAGATAAATACTTCTCTTTATTCACTTAATTTCTCTATAAACTTGATATCAGGCTGAAGATGTATTTACTTTGTGGTAACCGGACCATATATGCTGGTTTTTAATGACTGTTCTCTTTCTCCTTCTCTTTCTCTCTTTCCCCTTATCTTTCCACAGTTAGCACTGAGGGGCCACCATCTTGCTCGAATGGCTGTGAGCGATGTTCCGAATACAATGGCTGTATAAAATGTAAGCCCAAACTCTTCATTCTCCTGGAGCGCAACGACATCCGCCAGATAGGCGTGTGCCTCGCCTCGTGCCCACAGGGATACTTCGGCATGCGGACTCCCGATACCAACAGATGCATCCGTGAGTTTGGATTCTTGGACTTCATTGTTTGTTTTTTAAATGCATTGTGTCATAAGTAGGGTGAGGAGTTCTTCGTGACTATGATGTGAACTGACCAGGAAAGCCCCAGTAAGAAGGTTTTCTATATTTGTATTGACATTTTTCTGTGTTGGACAAAACAAACCACATTCAATGATATTCAAGATATTCCGCAGTACAACATGGAAATCATCACAATGTGTCACCATAATAGTAAACACACAATGGGCACTAATGTGGTCCAGTGGTAAGTGAGGTGTAATGGCCACTTTGAACTGCTGTGCCATGTGTGGAAGGAGCTGTCTTCACCACATGACCACAGTCACAGCAATGACATGCAACACAACAACACACTCATAAAGACCAGCAAATAGTATCTGTCAAGCTGGAGATGGGCCTTGAACTGAGACATGGCAGGAGCATTATTGTTCTGTTGCAGTAACGTTCAGACAGTTTAAAGGTAGACTCAGCGGTATGACATACAGTGGGGAGAACAAGTATTTGATACACTGCCGATTTTGCAGGTTTTCCTACTTACAAAGCATGTAGAGGTCTGTAATTTTTATCAAAGGTACACTTCAACTGTGAGAGGCGGAATCTAAAACAAAAATCCAGAAAATCACATTGTATGATTTTTAAATAATTAATTTGCATTTTATTGCATGACATAAGTATTTGATCACCTACCAACCAGTAAGAATTCCGGCTCTCACAGACCTGTTAGTTTTTCTTTAAGAAGCCCTCCTGTTCTCCACTCATTACCTGTATTAACTGCACCTGTTTGAACTCGTTTTCCTGTATAAAAGACACCTGTCCACACACTCAATCAAACAGAATCCAACCTCTCCACAATGGCCAAGACCAGAGAGCTGTGTAGGGACATCAGGGATACAATTGTAGACCTGCACAAGGCTGGGATGGGCTACAGGACAATAGGCAAGCAGCTTGGTGAGAAGGCAACAACTGTTGGCGCAATTATTCGAAAATGGAAGAAGTTCAAGATGACGGTCAATCACCCTCGGTCTGGGGCTCCATGCAAGATCTCACCTCGTGGGGAATCAATGATCATGAGGAAGGTGAGGGATCAGCCCAGAACTACACGGCAGGACCTGGTCAATGACCTGAAGAGAGCTGAACCACAGTCTCAAAGAAAACCATTAGTAACACACTACGCCGTCATGGATTAAAATCCTGCAGCGCACGCAAGGTCCCCCTGCTCAAGCCAGCGCATGTCCAGGCCCGTCTGAAGTTTGCCAATGACCATCTGGATGATCCAGAGGAGGAATGGAAGAAGGTTGTGTGGTCTGATGAGACAGAAATAGAGCTTTTTGGTCTAAACTCCACCCGCCGTGTTTGGAGGAAGAAGAAGGATGAGTACAACCCCAAGAACACCATCACAACCGTGAAGCATGGAGGTGGAAACATCATTCTTTGGGGATGCTTTTCTGCAAAGGGGACAGGACGACTGCACCGTATTGAGGGGAGGATGGATGGGGCCATGTATCGCAAGATCTTGGCCAACAACCTCCTTCCCTCAGTAAGAGCATTGAAGATGGGTCGTGGCTGGGTCTTCCAGCATGACAACGACCCAAAATACACAGCTAGGGCAACTAAGGAGTGGCTCCGTAAGAAGCATCTCAAGGTCCTGGAGTGGCCTAGCCAGTCTCCAGACCTGAACCCAATAGAAAATCTTTGGAGGGAGCTGAAAGTCCGTATTGCCCAGCGACAGCCCCAAAACCTGAAGGATCTGGAGAAGGTCTGTATGGAGGAGTGGGCCAAAATCCCTGCTGCAGTGTGTGCAAACCTGGTCAAGACCTACAGGAAACGTATGATCTCTGTAATTGCAAACAAAGGTTTCTGTACCAAATATTAAGTTCTGCTTTTCTGATGTATCAAATACTTATGTCACGCAATAAAATGCAAATTAATTACTTAAAAATCATACAATGTGATTTTCTGGATTTTTGTTTTAGATTCCGTCTCTCACAGTTGAAGTGTACCTTTTGATAAAAAGTACAGACCTCTACATGCTTTGTAAGTAGGAAAACCTGCAAAATCGGCAGTGTATCAAATACTTGTTCTCCCCACTGTAGATGCAGAAAGTAAACAGCAAAGTGGGTAAATTTCTGCAACAACTAAGAGCGTTGAATCATGAGGCTCAACCTCTGCTGTTTTGGTGGCCTGGCTACCATGCTGTGAACAGCGTGAAGCGAACCCGTGCACATGCGCAGATACTGTGTGTGACTGTGTGAGAGCGATCATCATCTCAATATCTGCAGTGCTGCTCATGGTCATTTTGCTGAGTCTGCCTTTAAAGACCAACTGAACCAAAAAAGGACCTTAAATAATAAATAATAAATAATATGCCATTTAGCAGACGCTTTTATCCAAAGCGACTTAGTCATGCGTGCATACATTTTTGACACCTTCTAGTGTCAAAATTGACTACAAAGTGTAAATAGGATAATTTTGGTCATAAAGTCAGTCTCGACCAATACAGAGATTTGCGAGATGATTAGGGGAAAAAATGTATGTCACGGAATTAAGCTGTAATTCCCATGGTAAATTTGGTTTGACTTTGGATATCCCTATCAGTAAATTACACAATGTATTTTGAACATTTCAATAGCTCGAAATGTCAATGACTTAAAAACCTCAAACCGACTTTAAATTGTAGAAATTCATATACAAATATTGAAAACATTTAATGAGAACTAAAAGTTGTGCAACATGAAAATATTGTCCCATTTACATTGTGTAATTTATTGATGATCCCTAACTAGCCCATGACATAGACTATCCAGTCAAACCACTTTTTCAACGGTCGCACACCAGCCGGCTGAAGCTAATTGGCGAAAGAAGTTGGCTAGCACTAGCTAGCCTAGGCTAATTCCAGACACAAGACCTGGTTAGACTGTTTCAAGTTATCTAGAAGGGTGAGTGACTGTAACTGTGTACTGTTTTGATAGAGTAAATGTACTAACACACACCCACATTAAACCACACCCACAAGACAACTCTCGTTTGGCTTCAGTCATGGCAGCTGCATTTCTTAATGAGCAAGCTGAAAAACTGAGAACAAATCAGTAAGTCCAGCCCCCCTTTAAGTGGTGTGGGGTGAAAGAGGGTGGAATAGGGTTGGTATACATGTGTAATGTTTACAAAACTCCCCCATGCTGGTTCTGGTGGCACAAACACCTTTTTTCTGAACCAGGTGTGCCAAGAGCCTGGCTCGTGGTCAGTTTTCTCTTACTTGTGGGTGGAAAACAGGAATGGAAGAAACTCCAAACAAAAACATTTCTAATGCACTGTTGTTTGTCTGTTTTTTCAAGGATGTCTATGTTTTTATTTGGCTCGCTAGCCAGGGGTTCATGCCAGTTCACAGTCCATATTTGTTGAGTTTTACCATTTATGTATCAAAACATCCATAAAAAAAAAAAAAGTAAATTAATATTTTCTGGACACAACTGAGTTATTCATTTTGTAAGTTCCCCTGTGAATCATACAACTAAACTTGGCTCTCCAATGGTAAATTATATCAACTTCTCATTTTTGAGGAAAGTGCGTATGATGAAAGGCAATTAGAGCGCAAGGCAGCTTGTAGTCATTATATTCTGTTACAGGAAGAACATGCAGGCTGTTTTGGTGTATGCAAGTTGTTGTTTTGTTAGATATGCTGTTGCAACATCATTTAATACCAGATGTCTGTAATGTTTTTTTCATAAGGTACATGTCTTTTGAAAACAGAATCATAAGTCATGTTCATTAGTCACCAAACTGAAGAAATCTGACTGAAAATGGGAGGGAATACCTGGACATAATAAACATTTTAGTTTTCTGTTGCAAAACATTTTTAAATGTTGTCCGTTGCATGCCCTAATGAACATGACCAAGATTTGCTAGTAGTCTCGACACAAACAGTAGTGTCTTGTGGTTCTCCATACATACTGAAGCGTAAGAAGCACTTATTGATTTCTTTTGAACAGTGTTTCCCTACTGCTTAACCCCGGTATTTTATAGCCCTTATATTGAGAGGAAGATGAGATAGCATACAGATTTACACAGCTCCGCCTGGAGGAGTTGTAAATGTCCAAATGCCTTCGCAGCAGAGAAGCTTATTGTCAATCTGCAGAAGAAGTTTGGGGTTGGAATAAGTGGGGCTGGTATGTGTGATACTCCTCATTCCAGCAACATGGACTGATTATAGGGGCCTGTTCAATAAAACAAGAGTTATTACCCCACATAGCGTTGTTTACACATGTAGCTACCTGAAATCACATTACAAGATACAGCATGAGGATCCTCCTGAATATATTGGCCTCAGTGCAACTTTGTAATATAATGCAACATTGAGCATACTTCAAGACATGTATAGTGAACTACAGTATTTGAAATAGCCTGACAAACATTTGTACATGTACTGTATGTGAACATAAACACAGGGCCATAACCTCAGAGCATGTCTGTTTGCTAGGTACTCAGGAAGAAGGTTTGGGAGAAGAGTCCAATTTGGATAAAAACAACAACAGTTTTGTCTCACTCTAATCCCCACATTTTTGTTAATGTTTTACTGTCACTTGAAATTAACTTTACCTTAGCCGTTATTGTTTCAATGTTGTCCACTGCATCCTGAAAGGCTGCTGTGCATGCTGGTTAGTCTCCTCCACCTCCTCCTCAAGCCTCTCCGTGGCTAACCTGCTGTTATTATCCAGTCAGCCGCTTCCATTTAGGACATATCGAAATCCCCAAGATGTCTTGTTAGCAACATTTGTTTTACATTAGGGCTACATTTGTAAAAGTATTTGCTCCAAACATCACTAACGTCAAATTTAGCTGTCAAGAGTTTAAAGTAATAATTGAGGTTAGGGCATTAAAATCCCAACAAGGATTCTTCCCTTTAGCTCGTTTCCAACTCCTGGCAAGACTCCAGCCGACTAGACATTCTTTATTTTAGTTGTTTATGGGAAAGGTGTCTAGTGTTTTGTGACTGGATTTTCACAGATATTCCAACCCAGAGATGTAAGGATTACATCTTTGACCTTCGCTTAGCGTGCCTCTGTTTCTACACTCTGGTTTTGGCAGAGAAAGTGTTAGCATTTCAGAATAAGGTAATGATGGTAATGAAAATGGGGGGGCTAGGAGAAGGGTTGGGATGAGAAAAGGGGGTTATTGGTAGTCCTCTAAGGTGTCTGTTTTTCATTCTCCCGCGCCCATAATTACCCCCAATTTAAAGTAGTTGTTTGTTTGACTGGAGAAGCTGAGTTTGTAACGAGACAAAGGTGCGTGGAGAACTCTGGAAATCCGCTGACGTGCTCTCTACTCTTGGCCCGTACCCGGCCACCCGCTTTCCAAAAAATATAGCCGTGGTATGCATATGCTTTTAAGTCATGGGTGTTATTCATGCAATATCCCCCCGAAGAGTCTCTCCCCATTGTTTTATCACTAATAAATCTCTCATAGGAAATAAAAATCAGGCAACATTCTTGTCCTCCCCCGAGGAGAAGAGGATCCTTTAGTGCAGCAGAAATGCTTCACATTTTTTAAAACATACTTTGCTGTTTTTGTATAGTAATACTGTATTATTCTGTATTAACACTGAAGCTTGAAGCCAGAACAATGAACAGTGATGTGTTATGCTGTCTGTTAATGCAAACTGTACATGTATACTATGTTAACACAATGAATATGAACTAAACTAAGTATGCTTTGATTTTCTCATTCTCTCCTCTGTTTGACTCATGTTTCTTTTCCCCTTTTCCTTTCAGAATGTAAAATAGAGAATTGTGAGGAGTGTTTCAATCGAAATTTTTGCACAAAATGCAAGGAGGGTTTATATTCACACAGAGGGCGATGTTACCCCAGCTGCCCTGAAGGCCTCAGCACCACCAACGGGACCATGGAGTGCGTAGGTGAGTGACCTCTCACCTCTGACCTCTCTTCCTTTCACTCCCTGCCACAGCTTCACTCACAGCTGACACTGAACTGGATTATGAAGTATGTGTTTAAGGGCATATTGCCTTTTGGCACATATTAGCTTTTGAATAAGATGGCTAAAATGTTAGTTCACAATCTTAATGGCTAAGAGAATATTACTGTACGTCCCACACTACCCATACATTGAGTATTAAGCATATTAAGTTAAGTGTTAGGCTACCTTTCAGAATTGAATGGTGATGAATTTGAGTGGTGAGAGCCTGTCACAAAGTCTTAAATGTTTCTCAGGTGTGGGCTGCATATTTGACCCCATAACATACCCCGTTCACCCTAACTCATCACACATGGTATCCTAAATACCCTTCAGCTATCAGCAGCCAAGTATGTTCTGCCTGTCAGATTAATATTGCCTGCCATATGAGAGTTCAGATCAAGACTTCCGTGGAGAAGAATTCCGTGTTCTGTTGAGCTCTCCTCCTCCTCTGTTCTTTTTCTTCTTTCTCTTTCTGCTGTTTCTCAATCACCAGCGAGCGAGCTGAACTTCGGAGGGAGGGCTGCTGGATGATAAGGAGAGTTTTATTGATTTCTTTTGAAGTTATTTCTGTCACACAGCAAATTGAGCACAAATGGCATTACTCTGCAAGGCTAGTGCTAGCCACCTGACTCCTCAGAGAGGAGCTCTCAACCCCCAGGTTGACATTCTGGTATTGCCCCTGCTCCCTTACCTTTCACCAAGCGCTCATTCCAGCCGCTCTTATCATATATATTCTCTAATTTCCGTCATTGTTTTTGGCAGCATCAAGTTTGCTTGCTTCACCCCCTCCCACCCCCCAAACGTTCACAAAAAAGTCCAAATATTTTCCCAAAAAAGGTTGAAATTCTCCCCATGATTGAAACCAGCTCTTGACAGATGGAGTCATGACTTAAGCTCAACAGCATGTTACTAGGGGTAAAACAGTTGAGGTCTCCAGATAAACTGGACAGACTTGGTAACATAGAGGCTTTGGGCTTGACAAGGCCAAATTAGTGATGTCTGATTTGGGCAAGATATGTTCCTCTGCATTACTTTCTCACTGTGAACATGTAAGACCTGTTGAAATCTAAAGCTTACTGGGTTTCACTTGGGGCTTGTTGCATGTGTGTTCTATGTGTGTGCATCTGTTCTCCCACTTAAAAAGATGAGAGAGGCCTGTAATTTTCATCATAGGTACACGTCAACTATGACAGACAAATTGAGAAAAGAAAATCCAGAAAATCACATTGTAGGATTTTTAATGAATTTATTTGCAAATTATGGTGGAAAATAAGTATTTGGTCACCTACAAACAAGCAAGATTTCTGGCTCTCACAGACCTGTAACTTCTTCTTTAAGAGGCTCCTCTGTCCTCCACTCGTTACCTGTATTAATGGCACCTGTTTGAACTTGTTATCAGTATAAAAGACACCTGTCCACAACCTCAAACAGTCACACTCCAAACTCCACTATAGCCAAGACCAAAGAGCTGTCAAAGGACACCAGAAACAAAATTGTAGACCTGCACCAGGCTGGGATGACTGAATCTGCAATAGGTAAGCAGCTTGGTTTGAAGAAATCAACTGTGGGAGCAATTATTAGGAAATGGAAGACATACAAGACCACTGATAATCTCCCTCGATCTGGGGCTCCACGCAAGATCTCACCCCGTGGGGTCAAAATGATCACAAGAACGGTGAGCAAAAATCCCAGAACCACACGGGGGGACCTAGTGAATGACCTGCAGAGAGCTGGGACCAAAGTAACAAAGCCTACCATCAGTAACACACTACGCCGCCAGGGACTCAAATCCTGCAGTGCCAGACGTGTCCCCCTGCTTAAGCCAGTACATGTCCAGGCCCGTCTGAAGTTTGCTAGAGTGCATCCAGAAGAGGATTGGGAGAATGTCATATGGTCAGATGAAACCAAAATAGAACTTTTTGGTAAAAACTCAACTCGTCGTGTTTGGAGGACAAAGAATGCTGAGTTGCATCCAAAGAACACCATACCTACTGTGAAGCATGGGAGTGAAAACATCATACTTTGGGGCTGTTTTTCTGCAAAGGGACCAGGACGACTGATCCGTGTAAAGGAAAGAATGAATGGGGCCATGTATCGTGAGATTTTGAGTGAAAACCTCCTTCCATCAGCAAGGGCATTGAAGATGAAACGTGGCTGGGTCTTTCAGCATGACAATGATCCCAAACACAACGCCCGGGCAACGAAGGAGTGGCTTCGTAAGAAGCATTTCAAGGTCCTGGAGTCTCCAGATCTCAACCCCATAGAAAATCTTTGGAGGGAGTTGAAAGTCCGTGTTGCCCAGCGACAGCCCCAAAACATCACTGCTCTAGAGGAGATCTGCATGGAGGAATGGGCCAAAATACCAGCAACAGTGTGTGAAAACCTTGTGAAGACTTACAGAAAATGTTTGACCTGTGTCATTGCCAACAAAGGGTATATAACAAAGTATTGAGAAACTTTTGTTATTGACCAAATACTTATTTTCCACCATAATTTGCAAATAAATTCATTAAAAATCCTACAATGTGATTTTCTGGATTTTTTTTCCTAATTTTGTCTGTCATAGTTGACGTGTACCTATGATGAATATTACAGGCCTCTCTCATCTTTTTAAGTGGGAGAACTTGCACTTCCTCTTTTGTATCCCTCCTGTAGAATGTGAACTGGGCGAATGGAGCCCATGGGGTCCCTGTATGAAGAAGAACAAGACTTGTGGCTTTAAGAAAGGCACACAGACCAGAGTGCAAGAGCTTCTTCAGGCCCCCAGCCCTGACACAGTCTCTGCATCCTCCCCCCGGCCCTGTGCTCCACAGACTGAGAGACAGAAGTGCACAGTGCAGAAGACCCCATGTGGAAAAGCAGGTAAGGACTAAAACATACCTACAGTAGGAGAGTGGTAATGAGAGGAAATAGAGTGAAACAGATAATGAATATATGGATGGATAAAAGACAGGAATGAGACCGTAGATTAAAGATTACAAAAGAACAGTTCAACACAACTGCAGAGTCAATAATATTGTGATTAGCACTCCCTGCTCTAAATAAGATTTTTTTTCTAGTCAATATTATAAATGTCCAAGGCAGTACACAACACTGCCTTGGACCTCAAAAGTGTTGGTTCAGTAAGGACACTGAGGCTCTGACTGGGAACCATGTAAACAAACAGTCCTAAAGAGCCAAACAGGCAAGGCAGATGGGAGGGTGCTATGCAGTGCACCGCGGTGTTGGACAACGATTAGAGCTGGAGTTGGACTGTTTGTTTTGAAGCCCAGCGAGGCGCGAGGTTTACACGGCTCTGACATATTTGCTCTAGCTCTTATCAGTCATCTGCCATCTTGTTTCAGAGCTGGCTAATGTTGCTAAGCTAGCAATCTGCCTGGTAACACTCAATTTGATAACAGCTTAATCATGCTCTCATTAGTAGTAGTTGGTATTGTAAGATGGAGTTTATTCAAGTAGTCGAGAAACCAAAAGGCCTCTCCTTTGGTCAGTAAGTTTTAATGAACTCTGCCTTATAAAATAAAATGGACCAGTCAAAACTTTATTGACCAGCATGGCTGGGATGCTTAGCTTTGTGATTGACCCAATAAAAAGGTAGAGAAAGGTTTGGAGTCGATTTGTTAATGTTGATTTGAAGTGAAAGGAGTTGTTTTGTATGGCTTGGATCGGCTGACAACGGTGGGCCCTATTTGGCCGCTGTTTCTATTTCCTAGTTTTCCCACTGTAATTCCTGGTTTTAATCCACGTGAATATTTTATTTGGCAGCTAATTAATGTACATGTTGAATCAAAGTTGGAAGCGTCCATTTCTTTACAAGGACTTAGTGTGCAGTAAACAAGCACTATTCCCAAACTTTATGAGCGGGTGGTACGCTTATGGGATTTCAGGGCTGATACTATTTTGAGTAACAGCTTTCAACAAACGTCAGTTTACCCATTGTAAAGAATCAATGAAGAATCATGTCGGTTATGCAATATGTAACAGATGGAATGCCTAAAAATGCACACAGAAACAGCATTATACAACATTAGATGTAGAAATCCTTAGAGGGAGGATATATACGAGCTCTTGCTTGTAATTCTTCAGGGAGGAGTGGGCTTGCTTCACACTGGACAGGACCAGGACAGCACTGTTTGAGAAATAAGAGGCAAATTTACACTGCATGACGCCTGCATCCTGGAAAGAATTTCCACCATGGATTGAGAAGAGTGAAATATTATAAACTGCCCCATAAAAGTGTAGTGCCACATGCCAAATTTCTGAACTTAGCGAGCGCTGTTGTGAAAGGAGGGAAAATGAGGGCAAGGGATGCCGTGTTAGAACGACAGAGTGTGGTATGTCAGGACTCAGGAGTCACCCGTATCTTGAAGGAGATTGAGACGTATGATGTGACTCCAGTTGTGACTGACAGTTTGACATTGAGAGATGTTAGCCATTAGTGTCAACTTGTTTTCCTTATTCTGGTGTCAGAATACACTGTTGTGAAAATGAGTAAGGCTCTCCCGTCAAGGCGCATAACAAATTAATGTTCTTCTCATGTGAATTAACTCATAGGCGATGGGTATCATGACCTTGACTAAGCCCTTTTTCATGTACATAAAAAAACTTGCCATGTGCTAAATTAGCGTGGCCGCGAATCCATCTGCAAGACTTGGCCGACGGGGCCGCTGTAAAAAAACACAGGGGGCAGTGCTTGTATAACACCAGTGATTTACTGGTCTGCAGATCTCACGCTTTGTGTCGATTTGGCCACGCTCTCGCCTTTTCCTTCCTGTAGCTTTTTACAAATGGGCCCGCATGAAAACAGAATTTGCTAAATGCGTGATTGCCTTTGTCAGGCCACAGTTGTTTAGCTTGGATGGAGTGGAGCTGCAATCATGGCTGTCATAAATTGATGGAGTCCCCCTCCATTAGCGGGCTTGTCAGGGGTCTAATTAAGACCTTACACAGTGAGAGCATCAGCCCAGGTCCTGCTGTGCACACTCACACTATGTAGAACGGCCCTTACTGTAACTCCAAAGGTTCACTGACTATAGCACATTACTCTAAACAGAAACGAATGTCTTCCAAATTCAAATTGTCTCCATTTTGTTTTCATTAGTGGTAGAAATGAATCTCCCAGCAATTGTTTATTTACTCAAGGCAGGCAACACACGCATACTTTACAAAGCTAGTAATCAAGTCTTGTCAACACTCCCCTAAGAAATGTGACACAGCCCCCAATGTCAGGAGCCAACTGGCCAATGGGGCCCTACAGTGACAGATGCTTTAATGACTTTGGCCCCTCGTGTCTCGAGAAAAGTAACAACTACTTCTAGTTAGTAGACTACTGTATTGGGTCTGCCTCTGCCTGTTTTCTACCGAACAAAGGGAAAGAAACTGCACACCTGTGCTCCTGCCAGGTCCTCATTAAATAAATGATAGGAATGCTTATAATAATAATAATAATAATAATAATAAAAATATGGCATTTAGCAGACGCTTTTATCCAAAGCGACTTACAGTCATGTGCGCATACATTTTTACGTATGGGTGGTCCCGGGGATCGAACCCACTACCCTGGCGTTACAAGCGCCATGCTCTACCAATTGAGCTACAGAGGACCACCTTATTGAAACTCATTAATTTTCAGGGGTCTCTTTATTCAAAATATGCGCCATTAAATACGTAAATGTTTTCAGGTCTACTACCAAATAGGGATTTTCATTGGTTTATACCGAGATACGTGTCTGGAGCAAATTTGAGTAATATCGAGGCTTTTTGTCTTTGCGTACTTTCAAATACACTCAAATAATAAACAAATGACTTAGAAAACAAGTTAACAAAGCACGTGGTGCAGAATGGAGGAAATAGGCGAAGGCCTATTACAACAATAGTTATATAATGTGTAATATAATTAAAGCAAACGAACAAGAATGCGCCATGAGCCTCCTGTTGTCAAACAGTTAGCTATAGCGAATGCTGTCCAGCCCCCTTAGTGAGTGTTTTGAGTCTCTGTTTCTAAGGAACATGGAGACTCAATACACAAGTTCATAGCAAACATCCCTCAGCCTAACTGGCCAGTTTCCTCTCATCGTGGGAGTACTCATCAGCCCAGTATAAACAACCACTGTCTGACACCTGACACAAACATCCATTCCCGTTTTTATGTGCGTGAAAGGTTGTTCACACCCACGCCTGCGCGAACACACGAGCAAGCCACATACACGCTATCATTAGAGCTGCAACATGTTAACCTCATTGTGGTGTAGTGGCGTAGCACAATTTACATCAACAATGTCAAGAGGATGTCAATGAGTGCTCGTATATTGAACAATCTATAGCTGTATGTACAGGACATGAAGGACTCTTGCACTCCACTTCAACAGTGTTGATTTACTTTAATTCCTCTGTTTTATCCTCTCCTGAACGTTTTTTTCCATCCCGAGTTCCTGGAAAGCTACTCTTAATGGATGTTTGTATTTAGGGAGCAATTATGCACTTAAAATGTGTGACAGGTGGGAGTCCAGACACAACAGCCTGCAGCGAGAGTGAGAGAAAGAGGAGGGGAAGACGAGGTAGAGTAGAGAGGCAAGGCAGACATTGAGAAACGTGCTCACCTCGACCGGTTCCCAACTGTTTACATGAACTATTATGTTCCATCAGCCATTGTCTCTGCGAGTGTTAAGACGTGTCCGGCTCGGAGTCGCGGCCGCACTCCTCACAAAGGATTATTGTTTTCCGGCCTGTCGTTATGGCGCTGCTGTGTGTTACCTGTCAGCCCGATGCAGCACTGTGTTGCGTCATGGTGGCATTTACGAATGGCTCTGGATCCTGAGCTGAGCCATGGGGCGGCGCACAATTGGCCCAGCGTCGTCCAGGGTAGGGGAGGGAATGGCCGGCAGGGATGTAGCTCAGTTGGTAGAACATGGCGTTTGCAACGCCAGGGTTGTGGGTTCGATTCCCACGGGGGGCCAGTATGAAAAATAAAAAATAATGTATGCACTCACTAACTGTAAGTCGCTCTGGATAAGAGCGTCTGCTAAATGACTAAAATGTAAAAAATGTAATGTCTGGGGCTTAGCGGTGATTAGCTAGTATTAAAAGGGCCTAATAGGAAGCCAGGAACTGGGGTATCCACACAATGCCCCTTGTCTTCCACTGTTGTGCCACTGAGCACCATGTTGTGAATATGGGCTAATGTCAAGGTCTACCAAGCTCATTCTGACTCTACTGTACTTAAAACACACACCAAAACCATCAAAGGCCTGTTTATAAAAGCTGAGACCAGCTATCCTGTTATTTTGGTGTCGTAGTCGTGTTATAATGCGTTTTAATCTGTTTTATTTCTCTCTCTATCCAGATGGGAATAAGAATAAGGGCGAGCGACGCGACCAGCAGAGGAGGCGAGACAAAGAAAACGTCCGAGGCCATGGCCACGAGGGCAAAGAGGGTGGCAAAGAGGGTGGCAAGAAGGGTGGCAAAGAGGGAGGAAAAGAAGGAGGCAGAGAGGGTGGCAAGGCAGGCGGCAGGAGGAAAAAGGGCCAAAACCAGGCCACCACCGCCCCTAGCCTTACCCCTAGCACTGTAATCTAGGCCTTACACACGTTGGGACTTGGTGGGGACAAGGAGGAACAAAAACTAGGCAACACCCACCTGCATTGAGACAGACAGTGGACAGAGGAGACCACAATATCAAACTGATGAAGAAAAGGATTAATGCTGCTATGCATTCTAGAATATGCTTTGAGAGAACTGGAGGATTGCTGCAATAAATGAGGAACAGGACTTGGACTTATCAAATTTGGAGGGAAGAGGGTGGTTGGAAGGTACTTTGAGAGACATGGAGGGTTGCCATTGTAAGCCTTGCAGTAGGGTCAACATGTTTCATTTCACCACTCCCAAGTTTATCATGGACTTGGCAGATGGAGATCCCAGTGGCTGAACAGTGGAAGACACTGAATATGAATATGAGCATTTCAAGATGGAGGCTTCACAATGATCAAGGATCTCTTCAATCCATTAGAATCCCTGATGTGCTTTTTAAAATCTATTTTTCATTGTTGACTTGCCTCATGTTTTGTGAACGGTAGCAAGTAGATATTTCTAAGGAGATGTTGTTGTAAGTGATGTAGAGAAAATGAACAGTATTAAGACTCTTTATATTTTAATTATATTTTATGATGAAACTAAAGAAAGGCACTGGAACAAATTTGTGGTTTTGAAGGAAAATATATTTTAATGAATTTTTTTGGTTTGTAGAGAATCCGCTCCAAAACAAACCAGCAACAATATAGAGAAGGTTTATACGGCTTTAGTTCAAATCCTGATCTGATGTTAGACAACGGTTACCCATTTAATAGCTTAGTTCTTAATTTCAAATAGAATAATGTTTTGGTATCTTCAGCATAAAAAGTTTAGGATTGAAAACTGTGTGAGTTGTGTATGTGTGTTGTGAGTCTATGTGTGCGTGTGTCTGTATGTTTACAAAATTTAAACAAAATGTTTTTGTGAAGTAGTGATCACACAAGTGTATGTATATTTGTGTGGGTGTGGGTATATTGTATGTGTTTCTGCACGTAAGCTTAATGTGTGTGTGTGTGTGTGTGTGCGTGTACATATCAATCTGGTAGAATGGGAAATTTGATATAGATGATGAGAGAGACCATTGTAAAGGCACAGTTATATATCAACGCATCAATAATTCCATTATCATACGCCTCTGGTTACATGTAAACCATCTACAGCTGCTCAGTAATCATGTATGTTTGCAACAGGGTCCGACATATTGCACAGCCTCTGTGTTCCTTAATATAAACAGCTCTGTCAGTGGAAATAATCATTGCATTATACAACTACTGTCAGCCCGATATGACAGAGCAACTAAAGTTTTTGTACCGTTTGACACTCTTTGAGCAATCATTGTCAAGTTTTGTTTAGCTTTCCCTGGGTCTATTTGCTTTACACAAAAATATTAGCTTCATGAGAAGGTATACGTTAAATACGCGTTCATATTTTGGATAGTGGTACTGAAAATGTCAACATCAGTATATCATTGATCATAATGACAATTAGTATCATTATGATATCTTATTACTTCTGTGAAAGCTTGAATAAAATTCAGATGCAGTAAACATAGCAGACACACTAGCATGATCATTGTATATTTTACAGTAGTCGTTCTCCCCCTGTGCAATCAAATATTATATAATATAATATATGTTTTTCATTTCATTTTTGTTCTCCGTGGTCTCTCAATGGTTTTTCCTTGTCACACATACAGTAGTTGGCCTGTATATGCCATAGATATACAGTATGGTATCCTACAACTCTAACACAATGTTTTTTTTCTTCTGTCAAGAAGGAGACCCCCAACAAAATATCACTTAGGGCCCCCAAAAGGCTGGGGCCGGCTCTGACTGCATGTGTGGGTATGCAGCCCCTCATGATGAGTTCTGATTTTTTGTGGCCCTCATCCCCATCAAAGTTTCCCATCCCTGACATTGAGTATAATCATGCTGGGCCATGGAGGGCTGTGTTGGTGGTACATTCAGAGCTGGACTGTTAACATAGGCTGTATAAAATGGCTGTGAATGGCCATATGGAGACAATACTGTATTTCTTCCATTGAAGCATGGGAAAACTGCTTGAAATGTGGGGCAGGTTGGGGAATTTCAGTTAATCCAGGTGATGGCGGTTAGGGGCAACAGTGTGGGAAGCCAGCTTCCGCGCTGCATGCCGCTCGGAGCGACGGGAGGTGGCAAGGGAACTGCCCAGCTGGTGCAAGCAGGGCGGCATTCTCCGAGCGCTGGGCCAAATGCTGGCGCCTGGGCAGGGGCTGTAAAAGCAGGGACAGAAATAAAAACTAATGATGTGTCATAGCCAGGGGGATGGGTCTACTCCGGTCTACTCCACCAGGCCTTCGCCCTGTGCAACAAAAACAGCCGTTTCTCATTACAAGAGGGGAGGGCAGGGGAACGGTAGAGTTTGGACTGTAAATTACACTTTCATCCCTCTTCCTGACCATAAATTCTGAACACCGGCTCCATGGGACTGAGCTCTCCATCACATTCAAGCTCCCACTCTCTTTTTTCTCTCTCCCTCAGTCCTTTCCAGGGAGAGAAATTGATGGTAAGTCTCAAGAGTATATAGGTGCCCTCGCTTTGCCAGGATCATAAACACTTGATGATCTCATTACTTTTGCTTGGCTTTTAGGACACTATGTGTCTCTATGTGTGTGAAACACCTCATCGCCACATCTGTGCTTGCTCACTTTCCCTTGTTTGTACTGTACATGTCACCCCTATTAGGCCCTGCTAGCCAAGCCAACCCCCTGCAGATTATAGAGACGTGAATCCTTCATGTTGTCATTTTCATAATTCACTGAAAAATAGGCCCCGTGGCCCTGGTTAGTTCCCATAGACTGAAGCAAGAGACCGGGGGCCTTTCTGAGCCAATGCCGCCCCCCTCCCCCTATTGCGGCAACACATTCACCAGTGGGGGTGAATAAAGGGTTGGGGCCACATGAGGCCACTGCACTGCTAGAGTCACAGGCTCAGTCACAGCAGCAACACCAACAGCGGTGGATTACATTAGGGTTTACACTGTTATTACCAATTACCCATTGCTGACCTCCCTTCAAAGCCTCTCCCCAAATCCAGTGGAGCTAGCGGCTTCCATCCAGCTCTCCTAAGATGAACCCATTGAGACTTCCCCCCAGAGACTACACTGATCCATGGTTTCCATCTCTGGAGCACAGCAGTCTCTCTCTCATGGCTACAGATCTGAGAGGTAGACCAGTAGGGGCCAGAGGGAACGTTCAAAGGGAGGCCTCGATTACTCCAAGAGATATAGTGGGAAATGTGTCAAGCCAGAAAGAGACTGACAGGCCACACTTTTGATTTTGAGATAGCCATCCATCGATAGGGAATCCATGCCATTGGAGCTGAGGAACAGTATCACATAGAGAACATAATGTCTATGATCATTAAAGGACATCAATGCCAAAGCCCTACTCACAGCGAGTAGTCTCATTGATTGAAGAAACTGACTGACAACATTACATCGTACACATATGTATCTAATGTCAATTACAATTGAGACTACAAGGCCAGTTGGACTGTATCCTTGATGAGTCACTTATCCTAAGGGATGAAGACTGAAAACCCCAAAGTCTTGAATACATCCTCATTGCTTTATGTACTGTACTGCCCCCCTTTGGGGTAAACCAATATTGCATCAATATTGATACAGTAGACCATACTACAGGTAACTGCCAAAATAAAGGAAACACCAACATAAAGTGTCTTAATGGGGCGTTGGGCCACCATGAGCTGCCAGAACAGCTTCAATGCGCCTTGGCATAGAATCTACAAGTGTCTGGAACTCTATTGGAGGGATGCGACACCTTTCTTCCACGAGAAATTCCATAAATTGGTGTTTTGTTGATGGTCGTGGAAAACGCTGCTTTAGAATTGAAAGTGTTCAATTGGGTTGAGATCTGGTAACTGAGACACACACACACACACACACACACACTTTAAACCCTCTATGCCCCTTTGAGACCCCTCTTTCAAAGTCACTTTTGGTGGCCCCAAAAAATTGGAAACGTTTTATACATTAACCTATAGATGGTGGGCCGAAGCCTTAAAATCGATCCCCATTGAGGGAGTAGCTGATTTTCTGTATATAACAGTAAAACATTCTTATGATGACTATAAAATGTGTTGGCCCCTTCAGTTTTTGCAAATTTTCTCATAAAAAGTATATTTCAAAACCCAGCCGTTCAGGCAAACTTGCCAAACTACTACACTTGAAACCAATCAGAACTCCCGTACATACCCCTCGTGATGAAGGCAGCCAATGGCCTGCTTCTATCTTCGACATAAACACAGCCTCATAAAAACGCGAGCCGCTGTCTGATGAAGGGGAACAGATACAGCTAGCTAGCTCCCAGACTGAAATAAGATAAATATCTGTTTTCGAATTCACTTTAAATATGCATCATGCAAATACGAATTGTCTTGATCATATGAAGAGGTAACTCCATTGACCATTTACCCAATTTATTGAAAGCTAGCCAATGTTACAGACTAGCCTAGCCAGTTACTGTAAATCTCAGTTTGTGTTTCATTAGCCATCTCTGTCAGTGAATTCAATTGTTGAATCTTGTTTTGGCATGATTATGTGTCTCATTTAAAGTAACTAGCTGCAGGCTTAAAGAAACATTCAATCATATACAGTACCAGTCAAAAGTTTGGACACACCTACTCATACCAGTGTTTTTCTTTATTTTTATACTGTTTTCTACATTGTAGAATAATAGTGAAGACATCAAAACTATGAAATAACACATATGGAATCATGTAGTAACCAAAAAAGTGTTAAACAAATTGAGATTCTTCAAACAAATTGAGATTCTTCAAAGTAGCCATCCTTTGCTTTGATGACAGCGTTGCACACTCTTGGCATTCTCTCAACCAGCTTCATGAGGTACTTACCTGGAATGCATTTCAATTAACAGTTGTGCCTTGTTAAAAGTTTTTTTAAATGTTTTATCAGTGGCGCGTGTTTCATAATTTTCATTCAATTCGCAA